AACCTTTTCAAAAGTTGTAAGAATTCTAACAGTACACTGAACTTTACTTGCATTTAAAAGAAATAAAAAGACCTTGTGAATTAATTTCAAAACCAACAAGAATCTGTTATTAAAAAACAACCACAAAAAAACACCAAACAAACAAAAAAATCCCACAAAACAAAACCCAGACAACAGTATTATAAAAATCACAACCTTAAGAAAAAGATGTTTGAATCCCTGAGATATCCTCTTAAGTTTCTCTTGACATTGGTAACTTCCCTAGGAGTTTTGGCATACCTCGTCCCTTTCCATGGCCAGTGCCTACTGGTATAATGATCCTTGTTTAAAGAATTGTTCTTAAAATACACGGTTTAAAAAAAAAAAAAAAAAAGTAGAGCAAACCCAGGAATTATTCTGATTATGAGAAAAAGTAGTGGCTTGGTTCTCCAATGCAGATAGGGAAGAAAAGTACAGTACTTCGAAGGAAGGTATGGAGACTGTAAAAAGGAGGTACAGTCACACTGATGGAGTATTGATAAATCTTACCATGGATACTAATGATGTAGCTAAAGGAACAAAGCTTCCAAGGGAAAAAACAAACAAACAAACAAAACAAACAAAGAAAAAACACCACCGAATCCCCAACAAAAAAACTCCAAATGGTCCAAATAAATTAGCATTCTTGTGAAGAAACTTGCACCAACACTACTGTTCAACCTCTTCTGTTAAGCACTTGAAATTCCTCAAGATAATAAAGAAGAACAAAATATTACTACTATACTGACATGTTAAAGAAATTAACTTCTACAAAGAAATCTGCCTATACTGGTAACTTTAAAGGCAATCTTTGCACAGAGTTCTTTGTACTGTTAAAAGCCTAGCAAGCAAAGCTCTAGACAAACATGTACTGATCCACACTAATGTGTCAAAAACTAAGACTGGATTAAAAAAAAAAATCTTAATTCATAAGCTTTTTTCCAGGACCATAGGAAAATCCAGGCTGGTAGGGAGCTCAGGAGGTCTCTAATCCAAAATCCTGCTCAAAGCAGAGTCAGTACTGAGCTCAGACCAGGTTTCTCAAGGCTTTATCCAGTTGGGTCTTGACAGCTCCCAAGGATGGAAGCTGCACAGCCTCCCTTGGCAACACATTCCACTGCCTGACTGCCCTTGTGGGGAGAATTTTTTCCTTATATCCAGTTTGAACTTCATTTCAATTTATGCCGTCATCTCTTGTCCTCCTACCATACACCATTGCTGAGCCTGGCCCCATCTCCTTGATTTTCCTCTAGATTTTGAAAGGCTGCTATTATGTCAGCCCAAAGCCTCCTCTTCTGTGGACTCAGAAAACCCAGTTCCCTCTGCCTCTTCATGTCAAAGTTTTAAAAAAGTTAATTCTCAGTAAAGGTAATGCAGATGCAAGCATTTATTACAGAAGTGGCAACCCCTAAGACAATATAAATAAAATTAAACAAGTGGACATGACTTGTGTGGCACTGATCTCTCTGAATGATAGTAGAAATTAATCAGAACTTTGTGGAATTAGATCCTATTCATACAACAGGAAAAGCAATATATTTTCTGTGTTTACTAAGAGTGTTTTTATATTGTGTGAAATTGTTTTAATATTGTGTGAAATGCTCTAATAGACAAAGTGAATTGGGAATAGCTGTGTACCTACTGAGAAGTCATATGCTGCACTTCATTAATTCATCAGGTGTACTCTAAAATAAAACTTGGAACAAACTGCAGACCTCAGAGAATGAAAGTAAATGAGTAACTGTTAGAAGGGTATTATGTCATTAGTTTGTAAAACCAGTAATAAACTATGGGCCAAGATGCACAAAAAACAGATGGGTAAAACTTCTTGATCATTTTAAAGATAGTTTCAATTACTTAGTTCATGTTAACTCTTTTGGATTATTTGATATACACAGAAAAGGGCAACATTAGGCCTTTACATAAGCATAACACTGGATTTTCCACTGCAATAGCATATGGTAATATTTGCTAAACTGCCCTTCTAAAACAGGTGCTCTATTTTATGAGGTAACATTACCTGTCTCTTTAATGTGTAAAGTCATAAAATAATGAAATTGTTTCCAAGGTAAATGGGACCACCCATTGACTTCATCTTATGTAAGAATTGGAGGTATCAAATTGCAAGGATGTAAGTGACTATGAATAACAAATTTGGGTCACATACTGCTTTGATTTATGCCCAAGTATCACTGAAATTCAGACATTCAAGATGAAGGTTGTGCATTTAACCTCTACATTACAGCCATCATGGCAGTTGGATAGCCACAATTTATTATCAAAAGCCACAATCAGTATTGAGTGGCTTGAGCTCAGAGAAGTCTCTGATGAGCTTATCTCACATGGTGGAGTACATATCACTGTAGTGACATGAAGATGCCAGCCCTCATGTACATGGCCTAAGAAGGTTAATTGCACAAATTTTCCTGGCAGAATTTACCTCTTAGCTCCTTCATTCTAACACTGAAGGTCCTGTCTTCAAACCTACTAATGATCTGCAGTTGGCTACAAACTCAGCTATGATTATTCATTTAAGAAAATGGCATAATATAAGGAAGTAATGAAACTAATGTCCGTTCTGATTCTTTAGCACACCCACACCAAATAATTTTTTTTAAAATGGCTGAACAAATTCAGAGTAACTGAGTGCTTACACAGTTAATGAGCTGATTTACCTCCTTTCCTAATATTGCTTCTGCAGGGATAAATTTATCACCAATTAATTCCATTTGAATTATTTTCATCTATCAAATTAAATCAATGATATGGCCTATGGACTGGTTCAGCAAGGTATCAACTGGGTTAAAGCTACCTACTGATTTTGAAATCTTTTTTTTTACCTATGACTTTGCAGCATATTTCAATACTCAGTGTCTATGGGAAGAATCAGAATATCCACTGGATCACACAATGTTAGGAGTACTATAGGCCTGTCAGTAACAATCAGTGCAATAGGTGGACGAGGCAGGACTGCAGAAACCAGAGGCATAATTCATTTCTTATGCATAACATTTCTTTAAACGGGCCAGAAGGAGAAGGTTGAGGTTGAGCTAGAAATGGTTCAAGGAGAAAGGGAGGGTTGTGACTAAAAGCAGGAAATGATGAAGGGAGAGATGAAGGGATAAGGAGCTGTAATAATGCTGTTGTTTATTGATACCTTTATAAATTTAATGGGTTTTGCATAAGTATTACAACAATCAAATGGTAATTTTCTGCACCTTTGATACATGCTCTACAAATACATAGTGACAGCCATAACCCTGAAGAGCTTACAGTCTGAACAGATGAGGCAAATAAAGGGTAAAGGGCTCACACAGAGCTGACTTGCCCAAGGCTAGACCACTTGCAAGTGACAGAAGTATACTTTTACTGCTGTAGCTACTGCTTCATGCTGTCTTCTCTACAGTAAAAATACAAAGTTAGGTTTTGTGCAGGTGAGAAGAACCAAATGAGATGCCAGTGCTGTTTTGAACAAACAGGCAGGTAGGTCTCCAGCTTGCCTGCTATTTGTTTTTGGCATGGGCATGCCAGAACATTACTGCCAGGTGCTGGATAACACCCTGGAGACCGGGGTCATGCCCTCTTTCCTAGACACACAACAGGTACATCAAAAGTGGCATAAAACACAACAGTCTGTCTCACTCCTTGACATGCTCGCATTCTGTCCCTAAGTATTTTGGCTGGGAGCAGCTGCCTGTGTAGCTTCTGCCCTGAGCAGTTTCTCATCAGTTTTCTGCCGTGGCTGCTCTGCCGCTCTCCAATTGTGAAAAGTGCAAATGGGACTAACGAGAGCCTCCTGAGGCTCCTCCAGAGCACTCACCCATTCCAGCCCTGCCATCACCAGTAGCACCTGCACCACTGCTCGACCCACCCAGGAGAGAGCAATGTTGATGAGACCAAGGATGGGGTAAGAGTAACACTTGTCATCATCAGCAGAGGGGAGCTGGGGAGGCACTTGCTAGTCACATACCTGTTGTGCCCATATTCCATCTGTTACAGTTACCCAAGAAGAGCAAATAACACAGTCTTGTTTTTCCTCAGCTGTTAACTTTGGCATTAGGCTTCAGCTGTGAAGTTCACAGTCAGCCCAGCGTGGACCTTTCTCAAAACACAAGAATTATTCTTAGTGCAGCTGTTCTACAGGGTATAAAGTTGCAGTGGTGTTCTCTCAATTTATTTGAAAAGCACCTATGCTATCTCCATGCCCTTTGTCTTGACAATGAAGACTTCTTTTTAATCCCCAGATCAGCCTCACTAAGCAGAAGAACATAAACATTTATAAAGGGAGAGATCCTACAGATGCTCATCTTTCACATTAGTCTTCACTACCAATGACTCCTCTTCCATTGAAGTTATTTCTGAAATTACTCAAAGCAGCTAAATACATGTGACTGGGCTTTACCCATAGGCTATTTTAGCACAATGGCAGACATAAGACCTATAATAAACTCACAGGCATAAAAAGGCATGAAGCCTGCCAGGAGACCATACCCTTTGCAGTTATTTGTTTGGGGCTTTTTGGTTGTTTTCTGTTTGGTTTGGGTTTGGGTTTTTTTGTTTGTTTGGTTTTTTGTTTGTTTTGTTTGTTTTTTTTTTTTTTTTCTTTTATAATCATTTAGAGTCCCGCATTATAAATAAACTGTAAAAAATCCCCCCTGCCCGCGTTGAGGAAATTATACACCTTCCCTTCCTCCCCTTCTCCCCCTGACTCATTATGTCTCTTCCACACATGCTGCCTGCAATGAAAGAGCGCGGAACGAGGTAGAATCGCACACATGCTACTTCTGAATCTCAAAGGAGAAATCTCTTGCGGACAGAAATCTCCTTCGCAAAGCATAAATAACAAATCAGAGCATTAAAATCTGTAAACCCGAATCGGTAAACTACCGCTTTCCTTGTCTGCCGAGGAAAAGCCCCCCTGCTACTCCGCATCCCCCGAAGGATGGGCGAATGGATTTGGGCAGGAAACCCGCTCCGCTTACCTTCATCATGCTGGCAAACGGCGGGCAACCCCTTTGCCGCGGCGCAGCGGGCTCTCGGCGGGCCGCCGCTCGGTGTCGGGCAGCGCTTAGCGCTGGAGCCCCGCGGGTCCCCGAGCCCCGGGCGGCAGCGACGCCGCGCTGGGCGGGCTCAGGGCCGGCCGATCCGCCTGCGGGCGCTGCCGGGGCTGCGGCTGCTGCCGGGGCTGCCGGGGCTGCCGCCGCCTCTTGCGGGCTCCGATTGCATCAGCGGGGGAGGGCGGCGCGCACGGCGGCCGCCGCTGGGGAAAGCGGCGAGGGGCTGCGGGCGCCCCGCCTCGCTCCGCCCGGCGGGCACGCACACCGCCCGCGGGGCCGGGGCCGGGGCCGGGGCCGGGGCCGGGGCCGGGGGGAGCTCACCCACCTACCCGCAGGGGCAGCCGTAGCCAGTGGCTCGTCCCTAAAATGGCCCCGCACCGTGCGCTGCGCTGCGCCTACCGAGCAGAGGTAATTAATTTTTTTTTTTTTTTTTTTACTGTGATGCGTGCAGAGGACGACACGTTCTTCTTAGTCCTCTCCCTTCACAAGCATTAAGAAACTCATCGTTTTCCGACTCTGAGTCATTTCCTCTTTCTCGCGTCCAAGTTGTCTGACACACCAAGCACCTCGCAGTTCATCCCTCCCATCGGTAGCAAGCCCTTCAGCGCTCTGGCTGCAAGGCAGCCTTCCCCCAGGCCTCCTGCCTTCCACTGCTACGGGCACCACCCGTGCCGAGGTCTCCGGCACAAGGACAGGCCCACACAACCCATTTTATTCGGAGCTAGCTGGGACTGCCAGATGTTTCACAGCGGGGCGCTGGGTCCTCCCCTTACTAACCAGTACCTAGCTAGTCCACACTGAAGTCCGTGTAGCTACAGCTCCTCATGCCTCAGCTGGCGGTCCCACAGCCAGCTGGGTCTTGGGCTTCTGTGCGTAAGTACCTGGCAGGCAGGTGACCAACACCTGAAGACAAAAGAATAAACATCAGAGGTCAGTCTACCCTGTTACTTCTACGGTCTACTCTGTTCCTTCTACCAGTGCTGCTGCCAGTGAAAGTGTACAGTAGTAGTACAAAAGCCCATGATTTTTTATGAGAAAATACCAGTGTAACCACAGTATAATGTTCACAAAGTGCTTACTTTCATCATTACTGATTTTGCAGCTAAGTCTTTTCTTCCTTTACTACTGTTTCCATAAACGTTTTTCCCTTCTGATCTGCATGAGAGTAGTTGTAGGAAGCTGTTTCATCTCAATGCTACTGTCAAAACTGTCAGGTTCTGCTTTGCATGATGTACGTAAATTCTCTCTTGTATAGTGCCAGAGATCAGTTACATGAACATAAGTAGATCTCAGTTCCTGCCACTCTTCAGCCAGATAAGAAAGTGCTATTTCATGGAATTACAAAAATTTTGATTCCAAAGAAACACGGGTAAATGACACCAACCAAAATGAAAGTTGATGTGAACAGTGATGCTTTAGTGGCTCTTTAGGAGAGAAGAATGATAGAACAAAAAACAGGAGGCAGAGAAGGCAGCAAAGAAGCATCAGACAGCTGCAATTCATCATCAGTGAACTACTACTCAGTGCTCAGGAGAGCAATTCAATCCATTCATAATGAATCATCTTTAGATTACAACCACAACATAGGAACAACCATACTGGGTCAGGCCAGAGGTCCGTTTCATTCAGTGCCCTGCCTCTGGCAGTCGGTGCCCGCGGAAGAGCTACAAGAACAGAATCAGCACATAGGAGCACTTTCCTGATATGCTCTTTTAGCCTCTAGGGGTTTGTACCACAGCAGTTTCCTGAAAGATGGATTCTTCAGGCTCAACAGCTCTTCAGGGATTTTATCTATCTATTAATTTAGTAGTTCCCTGAACCCATGTCAAATTTGGCATTTATAAGATCTTGTGCTACTGAGTTCCACAATTCAGCTCTGTTCTGTGGAAAATTGCATAATTTTGTTTTATTTTGAACGTGCCATTTGAATATTTCACATCATGCTCCCTTATTCTGATATTGTGAGGCTGTAAACACAAAGACCAAAATATTCATCCCCTCTATGTAATCCATGATTTTACAGACTACTGTTGAATCCCCTGTTAACCATCTCCTTTTTCCAGATGAAGAGTGCTAATGTTTTTAGTCTTATTATAAAAACAGTTCCATACCCTTGATCATCCTTGATTTACGATGGGAACACGAACTACACAAAACTCTCAAGATACAGGTTGCCATATTTACTTTTAATTTGCCTTTTTTCCTCTGTTTTTGGTTGGTTGGTTGGTTGGTTGGTTCGTTGACTTTTTCCTTAATAATGCCTGGTGCTCTGTTTCCTAATTTGACTGTTCCTGAGCACTAAACTGAACAGGTATTTAAAAAAAAAAAAATCTAATTCCAAGATTTCTCTCCTAAAAGGTAATACTGGGTTTTGTTTTGTTTTCCCATGTGCATAGTTTTCTACTTGCATTCGTTATTATATGTTATTTTGATAACTGTGTACTCAATTTCATAAGGTCCTTCTGCAACTCTTGGCAGACAGCTCTAGTTCAGCTGAACTGTTCAACAGCATTACTCTGAAGGTTTTAATCTCATCAGCAAACTTTGTGCTTTCTCTATTTGCCTCCCTTTCCCTACCATTTTCTCAATTGCACAGACTCTCTCTCCCTTCTGTTTTTTATCCTTTAACCAATTAATAAGATAAACCAGAAAAGCACCTTTCTTATTGGAGCTTATTTTCTACAAGCTTTTGGTAAGGGACCTTGTAACATCCTTTGGAAATCCAAGTAGCTTGTATCAGTTGGACCTCCACTGTCTTCATGCTCATTGAATTCTCCAAATACTTTTCTAGATAGGTAGGTCAGGATTTCCTTTCAGAAAAGTAATGCTGAGTCTGCCCCTCAACATGACATTTATCCATATAACTTTTTGCATTCCTGTCCTCGGTTTGAGTGAGTGGTGGGGTTTTTGGGTAGCAGGGGAAGGGGCTACAGTGGTGACCCCCTGTGAGAAGCTTCTCGAAGCTCCCCCAGCTCCAAGTCGGACGCACCTCTGGCCAGGGCCGAGCCAATCAGCTGTGCCTCTGCCATAATGTATTTAAGGGACCTGGGAGGAGGAGTTGGAGTTGTAAGGAGTTGTGACATCTGTGTGAACACCAAGGTCAGTGGAAGAATAGAGGAGGAAAGCGGGGGAGCTGCACCAGCACAGAGACCCCCCTGTATCCTGTGGTGAGATGGCAGGGCGGCCCCCCCTGCCACCCATGGAGGGCTACAGTGGAGCAGACGCTGATATATGGCCTGTGGAGGGCCCCATGATGACCCAGAAGATTGCACCTGAAGGTGGCCAGGACCCTATGGGAAGAAGCATCCCCCACTGCTGTAGTTCACTGCTGGGAGGTTTGCAGCGGGGGTGTCCCATGCTGGCTGGAGCAGCTTGGGAAGGGCTGCAGCTCATGGGAGGGACTCCAGTTGGAGTCCCATGCCAGAGCAGCTAGTAAGGACTCAAGTTGGAGAAAAGTTGTGGAGGACTGACTCCTGTGAGAGGGGAACCACATTGGAGCAGGGGGAAGAAGTTCCAGAAGTACCCCTCCTGAAGATGGAAGAAGCAGCAGCACTGACTGCACCCCCCCCATTCCCTGTCCCTGCGCTGCTGGGGGGAGGAGATAGAGATATTGGGAGAAAAGCTGAGCCCAGGAAGAAGGGAGGGGTGGGGGGAAGGTATTTTCAAGATGTAGCAATGCTTCTTACTGTCCTACTCTGTCTGTTAAGTGCTGTTGTTGTTAGTGTCTGTATTAAATTTATGGTTTTTATTTCCCCTAATGAGGCTGTCTTTTGCCCATGACCGTAATGGGTGATTCATCCCTCCCTGTCCTATCTTGAATCCCAAGCCTTTCCTTTATTTTCTCCCTCTCTGCACTGGGGTAAAGGGGGGGGTGAGCAGCTGTGTGGTGCTCAGGTGCCCTCTGAGCTCAAACCACAATTCCTTATTACATGTCCTACATCTCCAGACTTAGTTCAGCGTTCTGAATCCCTCTAGAACAAAAGCTGTTTGAATGCAGTTTTACTGTTTCTAGACCTCACTTTGCCAATCTGAGCAGTATTGTGCGGTGAGCCCCTTTCCTTTCTAACTTCTCTGCATCATGATCCACCAAAGAGATGCATTTCAAGTTATCCCCAAACTGCTGAGAACTGTTGAGGCACAGAGCAGAGTCCATGGCCTGAGCATAACTAAGAAATTGGAGAAAGAAAGGAAAGAGGAAATGTTATCTGAACTACGTAGGAATTGTGCAAAGCCAAAGCACCAAGTAATCTAGGATATATATTAAAAAGTGGTCTTTTCATTGATAGTCAAGCTGGCCCTGAATTTGCAAATGAAAATCAGAAAAAGGAGACCAAAACTCAGAGAAGCTACAGAAATTACCTCAGAACTTGCATCTTGCTGCAGCACCCCAAAAACTGAAATTGCCATTAGTAAATGTGCTATACAGATATATTTTTGCAGTGTTGGCTTGCATTACCTCATTCTCATTACCATCCATATGTAACACTACAGAAGTTATAACGCAAGGAACATGGACTTTACCTTTACTGATTCAATCAGTTGTACTGATCCATCAATAAGAATATACATTTTCTACAATCTGAAAATGTAATTTTCATAAAAGAGGCCTTCGTTCATTTCTACACTAGATTTTCCATTAATGAAAGGCATTCTGTAAACGCTTGACAGCACTGTTAAACTTTAGAAGTTTTAATGAGTAAGTTTTTCACAGATATGAGAGAATAAGGTAATTTATATGCTTCGAGTCCAAAGTGTTTTCACAAGTTCTAGAGATTCACAAGGTGAATAGGAGCTGTGATACCCGGGGCCCTAGGGGCAGATTATGTTTGTAGAGTGGGCACAAAACCTTGTGATTAGTATGTTCCATTCCTTTTGCTGGTCTGCACAGAAACCATGCAGAAGAGCACAGCATTCCTTCTGCTTGCTGTGGGCTCATGAGTGGAATTTTTGCGGAAGACCAAAGAGGTTTCAATCGTGCACATTATCCAAACCAGAACTGAATAAACTCACATTTTAGCCACAGAAATATGAGGAACTACCATTTGAAAAATCAAAAGGCTCTATGATATAAAGCCAAATGGGGAATTTTGAAAGAGGCATCTTGTCTAATTCCATAATTCTACAAGGAATGAAGGTCAGAAGCCCGTAGCTTGATACACTTTCAAAGGTTTCCTTTTGTAACCCTGATCTGCATAAAGATAGGGTGAAGGTAGGTAGAAACCAGTTTTTCCATTTAAGAGAAAACTGGGATTCTGAGATTTTTTTCCTTCTGAAATGGAATGAAAACTTCCTGCAGTAAATTGTGGAGAAAGCAATTTTCATTCAATCAAAATGTATAATTCTGACAAAATTTGTGTTTCAGTTT